CAATAAAGAACTCCTCTCCCTTGCTTCAAATCCAACTCTTCCAAGCATCCGTTCAACCAGATCATCTCCTTGCTTGCTTCGGTCACCGCGACATACTTAGCCTCTGTTGTAGATAAAGTCACAATCTTCTGCAGACGTGAGACCCAGCTCACTGCTATCGACGCTAAGGTATAAACATATCCCATGATACTTCGCCTCGTATCATGATCACCGACGAAGTCCGCATCCACGTATCCCTGTAGCACCAACTCATTCCTCCTGAAACATAGTGGTTTATTTGTTGTTCCCCTCAAGTACTGTAATATCCACTTCACGGCCTCCCAATGCTGCTTCCCTGGATTGCTAGCAAACCTGCTCATAACTCCCACTGCATGGGCGATGTGCGGCCTCGTGCAAACCATTGCGTACATGAGACTCCCAATGGCCGAAGAATATGACACCTTGCTCATATGCTCTCTATCTGTATCTGTCTTAGACGATTGCTCCTCAGATAGCTTGAACTGACTTCCAAAGGGTGTGCTAACAACTTTAGCATTCTGCATGTTGAACTACTGAAGTACCTTCTCAATGTATTCAGCTTGGCTCAATCTCAATGTCCCTTCAGCTTCATCCCTACTGATTCGCATCCCTAGAATCTGCTTCGCTGCACCCAGATCCTTCATTATAAATTCCTTTGCTAGCTGCTTCTTCAAACTGCTTATCTCCTCTAAACACGGTCCTGCTACCAACATGTCATCAACATATAATAACAAAATAATAAAGCTGGACTCGAACCTTTGAAATAACAGCAATGATCCGAATTGTATCTTCTGTAGTTATTGTTCTGCATGAAGTTATCAAACTTCTTATACCACTGTCTCGGAGCCTGTTTCAAACCATATAAGCTCTTCTTGAGCTTGCACGCCATCTCTTCCTTTCCTTCTTCAATGAAGCCAACAGGCTGCTTCATGTAGATTTCTTCATCCAAGTCACCATGAAGAAAAGCAGTCTTCACATCTAACTGCTCAAGAAAAAGGTCTTCTGCAGCTACCAAACTCAACACCACTCTGATGGTTGTGAGCTTCACAACAGGGAAAAATATCTTTGTATAGTCCACTCCTTCCCGCTGTTGAAACACCTTCACTACTAATCTGGCCTTGAATCTCTTGCTTCCATCACTCTCCTGCTTGACCCGGTAGACCCATTTGTTATGTAAGGCATTCTTCTGTGCAGGTAGCTGGGCTAACTCCCATGTCTCATTAGTGAGTGGAGAATCCATCTCCTCCTGCATAGCATGCTCCCACTGTTAAGATTCATTCACTTGCATTGCCTCTTCATAGCACTCCGGCTCACCACTATCTGTCAACAATAGGTAGTCAAGAGATGTAAGATATCTGGGATTTGGTTTGGGTACCCTGGATGACCTCCTAAACTCCATGCCCTGGGTAGTTTCTTCTGCACCTGGAGCCTCCTCCATTCTCTGATCAGAACAAACATCATTACCCATATTTGGAAGTTCCTCTATATCCATATACTCAGATCCATCTGTATCTGAAATGCTTCTCCCGCTACTTTGGCTATCCTTGGTATTTTTCCTGTTCTTATACATCACATCCTCATTGAATATCACGTCCCTGCTTCTGATGATCTTCCTGTTCTTCTCATCCCAAAGGCGATACCCGAACTCATCAATGCCGTATCCAATGAATGTGCACTTCTGTGACTTAGCTTCTAACTTGTCTCTGACATGGTCACTGATATGAACATAAGCCACACAACCAAATACCCGCAAGTATGAGAGATTTATCTTCTTTCTACTCCAAAACTCCTCTGGAATCCCAAAATCTAATAGAACTGATGGCCCGTGATTAATGAGGTAAGCTACCGTATGCACCGTATCCGCCCAAAATGTCTTAGGCAGACTTGCATGTAATCTCATGCTCCTGGCACGCTCCGTCAAGGTCCTGTTCATCCTCTCCGCAATACCGTTCTGCTGCGGTGTCCCTGGAGTAGTCCTCTCTAAATGAATATCATTCGTAGCATAGAACCTCTTGAACTCCTTCAGCTCGTATTCTCCACCATTGTCTGATCTCAGACACTTCACCTTCAGATCTGTCTCATTCTCCACCATGACCTTCCACTTCTTGAAGATTCCAAACACCTCTGACTTGTGCTTCTTGAAGTAGATCCACACCTTCCTCGAGTGATCGTCGATGAAGGTGACATAATATCTCAAACCGTCAAAAGAAGACACACTGGCTAGACCCCATACATCTGTATGAATCAACTCTAGCTTCTGAGTCTTAGGTGGCCTTCCACCCTTCTGAAAACTAACCCTCATCTGCTTCCCAAAAATGCAGTCTTCACAAATCCTGACTTCCACAACGTCGATCCCGGTTAGCTTTCCTTGTGAATACAAAATCTTCATCCCCTTTTCGCTCATGTGCCCTAGCCTGTAATCGCATGCTCCTGGCACGCTCCGTCAAGGTCCTGTTCATCCTCTCCGCAATACCGTTCTGCTGCGGTGTCCCTGGAGTAGTCCTCTCTAAACGAATATCATTCGTAGCATAGAACCTCTTGAACTCCTTCAGCTCGTATTCTCCACCATTGTCCGATCTCAGACACTTCACCTTCAGATCTGTCTCATTCTCCACCATGACCTTCCACTTCTTGAAGATTCCAAACACCTCTGACTTGTGCTTCTTGAAGTAGATCCACACCTTCCTCGAGTGATCGTCGATGAAGGTGACATAATATCTCGAACCGTCAAAAGAAGACACACTGGCTAGACCCCATACATCTGTATGAATCAACTCTAGCTTCTGAGTCTTAGGTGGCCTTCCACCCTTCTGAAAACTAACCCTCATCTGCTTCCCAAAAATGCAGTCTTCACAAATCCTGACTTCCACGACGTCGATCCCGGTTAGCTTTCCTTGTGAATGCAAAATCTTCATCCCCTTTTCGCTCATGTGCCCTAGCCTGTTGTGCCACAGATCTGTACTCTCTTTGCTAGCTACAATTGCGAGGGTGTCACTCGCATGTAAGGTGAGGTAGAGAGTTCCTAGTTTGTTGTCTTGAGCAACTATCATTGTACCGTTGGAGATTCTCCACAAATCCCCTGTGAATGTCGAAACATAGCCTTTTGCTCCAAGCTGTCCCACCGAAACAAGATTTCTCTTCAGCTTCGAAAAGTGTCTCACGTTCTTTAAGGTCCACTTAGAGCCCTTCATCTGAATCTGCACTTCACCATTTCCAACAATATTACAAGGCTCGTTATTCCCCAAATACACTTTTCCAAAGTCCCCTGCTATATAATTTTGAAAGAGCTTCCTGTTAGCAGTGGCGTGAAAAGAGGCTCCTAAATCGATGACCCAAGAATCCGAATCACTGTCCATAGCAAGGATCAAGGCATCTTGCACGATATGAGCCTCCTGCTCACCCGCATCCTTCTTTGGACTTTTGCAGACTGAAGACATATGACCCTCTTGGCCGCAGTTCCAACACTTCCATTTGATAGGCCTAACCTTTGAGTTCGACCTCTTCTTCACTGATTTCGACCGATTCCTATTCTGGTTTCCTTTCTTCTGGCTTCTGCCTCTCTGCTCGAAACTTAGAGCTGAACCTGAACCTTCTGATTCGGACGATTTCCTTCTAACCTCTTCGGATAGAATCATGCTAACAACCTCACTCAGATTCATCTTCTCCTTCCCTACCGAATTGCTGATTATTGTCATTCAACCTGCCCAACTATCCGGCAACTACGATAGTAGTAGAAGGGCCTGCACTTCGTCATCGAACGTGATGTCTACGGAGATAAGCTGATCAACAATCATGTTGAACTCGCTGAGGTGCATCGTGAAGGACCGTCCTTCTGCCATCTTGAGGTTGAAAAGAGTCTTGACGAGATGCACCTTGTTTGCTACCGACGGTTGCTCATACATCTTCGCGAGCGCTTCCATAAGCCCCACCGTCGCCTTCTCCTTCAAGATATTGTGGGCTACTGATTTGGCGAGCGACAACCGGATTTGCCCTAGAGCCTTCCTATCCAGTATCTCCCAATCACCATCTGACTCCTCTTTTTTCTGTCCCTTTTTCTTGCCCATCAGCGGGTGATACAAGTCCTTCTGGTACAGATAGTCCTCCATCTACGACTTCCAGTAGGTGAAGTCTGAGCCGTCAAACTTCTCGATCTTAGATTTGATTTCCTCTGCCATGGCTCTCTTTCTCACAAATTTGCTGAACGAAGCTCTGATACCAGTTGTTGGGGATTCGAAATAATCAAATTAAATCCGTACCCTTTCGGATCTTGTGTTTGAGAGTTGAGCAAGAAAGAAATTCACTACAAATCAAAGATAAAAACTTGTAGGAAAGTAAACAAGAAAGAACACATCAGATTTAACGAGGTTCGGCAATGTGCCTACGTCCTTGGGAGCCACATCACACAATTCTTTGATTACTTGAAGAAGATTACAATGCTTGCAATTGGCCTCTCTCTCTCTCTCTAAGATTTCTAATCTCAAAGAGCCCTCAAAACCCTCTTTTTTCGTGCTCTTTTTCTCTCCTAAACCTTTGAGGGACGTGTTTCTATTTATAACAAACACAATCCTAAACAGATTAGAATTCTAAAACGAGTCTGTCAGGGACGTGTTTCTATTTATAACAAACACAATCCTAAACAGATTAGAATTCTAAAACGAGTCTGTCACACCCTGGTGTGGCACACACCACACCCATGGCAGACATGGCAGACTTTGCCACACCAGGGTTTGGCAGACACCACACCCATGGCCTATCTTGAATTTTTATACAATTGTTGATTTTGATTCTAGGTTTGGGTCTCCACTCTCAAGACCAACACACTTAACCCTTTGCCAAACGACACCTGAGTGAATTTTTTTTAATCTTTTACCCTTAGAGAAAGACAAAATTGTTTTTGATAAACTGAAAGAGTCTATCTGCAATAACTAGAACTGAAAGGGGTCTGTTAGCAATTGTGTGATAGTAGAGGAGTCTACCCGCAATTAACCTTGATAAAAACTCCTACGACTACAAAGTTATGAACAAAAATCTGTACCTTTCTTGATAAAATCTAGCATTAACGTACAACTTTCCAGCAAGCTCATGAAACGGATTCTTGGCGCCAGAATTACTATTAGAAAATTTCAGGATACTGCAAACATGTAATTTTTTTATATTTATTTTTTATTTCTCCTCCTCCTCATTAATAACTGTAAGTTCTAATCTCTCCTCATCACCTCCAGCTGATTTGAGAACTTCCTCAGGGAGCAATGTATCTGATGTATCAGCCTTCGGCACCAAGAAAATCAAACCCAATGTCGCAAATCTCAGCAAGTTCCTTATAAGCACAACCAGCCACAGATTCCTGAAATCAGTTCTTGTAACATGGAAAATATGCAGAACTGCACCTCCCCCAGTCTTTGAAGATAGTGTGCCAAGACTATCAATACACATAAGAAGAGCAAAGAAGGTCCCCTCGATACCCAACGGGCACAATTTCGTGCTGAGGACAATCATGGGCAACAACCTGATTTTGCTTACAATTCGTGAACAGCACTCTTCCAAGATAACAAATGTGTAATCAGGTATTTTCAATTTTAAATTCCAACGTAGGATGAAAATGAGGTCGAGTGATCCTGATATAGCATAAAGGAGTTGCACATAGAAAAGTAGGCTTCTGAATGGATAGTTTTTTAGAAGCTTGTGATAGATTAGGACTCCTATAATAGAAGCTAGTGCTCCAATTGCATAGATGACACCGACAAATTCCTGCAAAAATAGAAATGCTGGAGTCAAAATTCATGACAGTCACAACTTCAGAGTTCAGTTGCAGTGGGAGGGTCCTTCCACATAGTATCAAAGTAACCCAGGTTCAGCTGTTGGCCAAAACTCATAGAGCAGATTAAAGGAAAAGATACCACTTTATGAGCCAACCAACACCACAACTTCGGACTTCTGGTGCAGTGCCTGGTCCTTTGACAAACAACTAAGTCATTTTATGGTTATTTAGTTATGTAAAGTTTGGAGAAAGAATGACATATTACCTGTGAGAATGCTGGACCAGCTTTAGGATCAGTGTACCAGTAGAAATGACCCTCATGAGTACTGATGCTGAGGGCCAAGGAGAGAAACATATATAGAGAAGGCTTCCAAACATGAGGACATTTTATTGTCGTTCCCATTCCTCCTATTGCTCCGCCAACCTTTTGCATGAACTGAAATTTAACATCACAAAACCCTGTCAATTATCAAGATTTGTCATGGTGAGTTATTTGCAGCTAATACATTAAGAACAACAAAGAGCAAAGTGCACAATGCAAACTTTCCGTCCAATTCCCAATGCAACTTCTACTTTGAACTTATTCATCAGTTATGTGCATCAGAAGAGAAAGTACAATTATGCGTACTTTTAAGGTTTCAAAGGTTTAGACAAACCTATTATCGAATCTAAGAAGAGCTAAATCCAATATTATGAGAGTAGCAACTCAAACTACTTGGACGAACCTTTCTCTTCTCCGAGCGTTGATTCAACCTCAACTCAGATATGACAAAGCCAAGAACCACCAACAAAGAAGGAGGCATTGCCATTACCCCCAAAGCTCCCTGCAACAGGATGCATATTTCATTGCTCTCGTATAAACATGGGTTAGTTATGACTAGACCCCCCTATACTATCGCCAAATTGAACTTTCTATGCCCTGTAGTCTATTGTTGCAGATAGCCCTCCCGAGTGCAATTATATTGACCATTTTCAGGGGTCTATCTGCAACAATATAACTACAAGATAGCAAGTTCTATCTGCAACAATATAACTACAAGATAGCAAGTTCAATTTGACGATACTGCAAGGGGTCTATCTGCAGTTAACCCTATAAACATCACCCAAATGAATTCTAGTTTACACGATCACAAACCTGAGCCCCGAGCATATTCACAAACACTCCACTAGACAAGTACCCGATCAATGCACCAACAGATTGAACGAACCCACAGAGGCTCTGCATGTCAGGCGCCAGCGATGGGCGTACTATGCTGTTCCTCGCAATGCATGCATCAATCGTCACATCTGCAATGGCGATTGCTCCTGCCATCCCAATAAGGCAGAGCAGTGCCATTATGATTGGCAAATTTCCACACATTGATACAATCAGCGCAGTTGAAGTCCCCAAAATGCCTGTTAGAAACCAAAAAGGGATAACGTAAGCCTACAATCTGATATGATGAAATTCATCTTAGATTTCTTTATAGGGAAATGTTTGGGTTTTCCTTTTATTTTTTGCAAGTTTTATTTTGTTTTCTGATTTATTTTCTGCTGATATATCGATCAGACCCATATGTGAAAAGATCAAGGGGGGAAGAAATACTCTATATGTTTGAATAGTAGCAAATTTTGGAAAGAAAATTAAGATGATAGTATCGCGGGTTTCTTTCTTTCGTCTCTACGAAAGGGCCTCGGTTAGAACTCAAAAAACAAATCTCTAGAAATTTCTCAACCGAGCTCTCACTCTCTCAATAAACAAAAGATCAATAATTTCGCTGCAATATTGGGTTCTAATTAATCCATCATGAGCATCTCCCATTATTAGTCGATACGCTATCGTAGAAAACCTGCTCAAGGGCAGCCACGGGAACGTGGTTAAATCAAAAATGCCGGCAGACCAATCTCTTATATATTTCTTAATCTGTTCACACTTTATCCGGTCAAAGCCTTCAAATCTGTGTGACAACAAGAGCACAAATAAATGCGAAAAAAAGCTAATTACCAGCAAGAACGAAATAAGGCCGGCGCTTGTAGCCGAACACAGGAAACACATCAGTAAGAACGCCCCAAACCGGCTTCATAACCCAAGGTATGAAGTAAAACCCCGCGTACATCT